ATATCAGGTCATAATTTGATCAAGTAAAAGCCTTGGGATTCAAGGGAATAAATTTTATAACTTATTAGTGATGGGTTTCATAGGTTATAAAATTCATGTACAATGTGGAAAATAACACTTAACAATTAAGGGTACATGCAAACTATTAAGGACCTAGTCTTCACATTAAGGCAACATACTATAAACTACAAACCCTAAAACAATCCTACTATTATCGAAAATCATAAATTAGGGTTACATACCTTTTTCATTGTTATTATAAACAATTTATTTGATTCCTTCCTTGTTGTCTTCAGAAAGCAAGCACCAAAAGTATGATGCCTCTAATGGCTCACTCCTAACACCCTAAAAACCCTATGTGTGAGGAGAAAGAGTAAGGAGAAGGAGATTTCATTCATAAGCCTCTTAGAAAGTTTTTGTACGAAATAATGAGCCAATGTGTCCTATTTATAGTTTAGGTAACATGCAAATGAATCCTTAATTGAATTAATTAAATAATATATTTAATTCCAGTTCAAATTCTTTCCTTATCTACAACCACGAGGCTTCCACAAATCCCAGGAATCCCTCCAAAACCATCCATACCATGGATGGTTCTAGAATTGATTCTTTTGTTCAACTATTGAACAATTTCAATTCACCAATTACACATTTAATTAATTCCAATTAAATCTAGATTAATTCTGATTAATAACTAATCAATTCTTATTGATTTCATATTATTTTTTTAGTCGTATAAATTTACAAATCAATTATTTAACTACAGATCTCACATTAATTTATTAATCACATAATGAACTAACATATCAATTATCTATTTCTAATTAATATATTAATCATATAATATATTAACAAGTCAAATTTCTTTTTCTCCTAATATAATTCATAGCTATTTATGGTTATAAAGGGAACCCAAAAAGGTCTTTGCTTTTAATTACAAGAATATATCAATTTAGTTATGAGCTTAGACACCTTAATCCAATAGCCTCCCACTTGGATAAGTCTATAAATACAATTTCAAGTATAACCTTGAACCAAACAATAAAGTGTGATTTCCAAAGCCACTGTCGAACTTCGATTCAAATCAAGTGTTGGCCCTAAGATAAGTGATCAAGTATTCATTCGTTCTACAAGATAACATATGAATAGATTCATGGATTAAATGATCTACCTCATGTTCATTTTTTTAATTCTCAGTCTTTGATTTTATGATCAAATTCATACTACAAAATCGAACGCATTAATTTATTCCGGACCAGACCTGGTTCTTATAGATCAACTCAAATCATTGAGGGGCCCAAAGATATTGGTTTTCCTGTTAAGGAAAAAGGAACAAATAAACTTCGACTACATAATTATAAACTTTACTCATTAAATCCTACATGACACTAAGTTTTATAACATCAGGTTACTGATGCGTTTACGCAACACCAATGCACAACTGACTTGCAAACTACAACTTATGTATCTCCTTTGAAGAATAGTAGATGTTATCATCTTAGAATTACTTGTGATTGTATCCATGAACTAATGTCTAAGTGTTGATTTAGCTAATACTCAAAATCTCTATTTTCTAAGTACCTCTGAATATTGCATCAATCTCTATCCAATGTCCAATCCTTATGAACAATCTACAAATGATTCATGATAATACTAATTCACTACCCACTCTTACAAGTATGACCAACTGTGGGTTTTTTGAATTTTGTTCAAATTACTTAGGGAAGTAAACATGTAAAGTGAAACACAATAATAAACTAGTTAACTATGGCATCATACCCCTTGAATATAGATAAAACCCTATTATTTAATCACCATAACAATTACAGATTTATTCGTTGTATATTGTTTCATGTAATCAACTAACCACTTGAATAAAATAACATCATTCATTCCATGTTATAAGCATGTATATTATGCCTCTCTATTGTCCTTCCTTTATGAATAAACCAACTAGACATTACTCCAACGATGCTCATTTTACAATTCCAAATTCTTATCATTATCTAAGATGTAGTAGAATTCCACCTTTACATTCATTGAATTTTTATGATGTTGAGGTTCTAAAGTCAAATAGGTTGAGCCTTCGATATTGCAGCATGTTCCACAAAAACTTGTTACTCAGAAAAATTCCATGATAACAAAGTCTCAAATTCAAGGTACTCTCCTTGAATACTTCTCTTGCATCAAAGCTCCCAACTCACATGTGGATTTTATAAGCATCTACCATTATGGAAACATTTCCATATTCCCATATGACCATCAACTCTGACCAAGAATCATCTCATTCCAAAACGTGTCACTATGGTCCGTCCTAAATAATATTATACTTCTGACTATCCACAAGCAACCAATCTTCGGTAAAACCTTATAATGTTATTAACAGTTGTTTAACAACTTTAGTCACATAAAATTCTAATCATTTTCTCACAATTCTTGAAGCATTTTTGAAAATTGGAATAAGAGAATATTATTGCGTATGTGATTGATCCTATATCCAAAGGATACGAGAATCGACTCATCATTACCTGTACAAGGATTCAACATCTGTTCAACTTCTTGATATAATATTTTCATATAGAATCCCCTATGTTGATACCTTTCAACATGATACCTTTGTCTTCGAAGTACTTGTTTCTCCAATGAAGTTTGTACTTGGTTCCAAGGAATTTGCATCATCCTTCTCATTCAATTCGCATCATCCTTCCCATTCAATCGTATTTTTTCAACATAAATTCTTAACATAAGTTGCTGAAAACTCATGTCATCAGTTAAGTGCTTAAGATGTAATTTGAAATTCTTCCAAGAAGGGGAAGTTTTTCAATGATTGAACCAACAAGAAAGTTAGAGTTTATTCTCATACCTTCAACTTCAAGATCATGAAATATTACTTGAAGTTCCTCCACTTGTTTCAGGACAGGTTAGGTATCTACCATCTTGAAATTCATGAAATTTCCAATCACGAATTTCATGGAACATGCCACTTTTTTTTGTATTTCTTTTCCAATGATTATCATATCTCTCTTGAAATAGTGATGGTAGAGTATATATCATATAGGTAATCATCCAAGGCATTTAGAATATAATTTCTGCAATTATATTCATTTTTCTTCCAGGTTTTCATAGTCCTTTGATTTTCTACACATTAGGTTGCAGTGCATAGATTTGTCCCTTCAACAGTGGTCACACCAGTAGGACGGGAAAGAGAATCATCAGTGATAAAATTGGAAACATGAAGAGTTGTCAAGTAAAAAATATCTTTTTGTTGCCATCTTTGAAAATTTGAGCCTTTGAATTTGTCAGGCTTTTCCATATGTGATTTGATGATGTTTTACTTGACAACTCTTCATGTTTCCAAAAATATAAGAAGAGTGTGTGTATTTCTCCATGTTGCCATCTTGATCCTTGAATTTTAAAAGTATAAGAAGAGTGTGTGTATGTTTGTAACCCCAAACCAGAATTTTAGTGATGTATTTATAGGCTTCATATTGACAGTCAGTCAATCCCAACCAGATGTTCAAATCGAAATTAACTACTAATTAACCATCTAACAAATAATTAATAATTAATAGTGTAACACCCCGACTCCCAGGTATAAGTTTTAAAGCATTATGTACATGTTTATGGACCTACTCGATGAGTTGGTTGCCCTAACTCGGCGTGTAGAGGCGGGTTAGCCCGTGTGGATTATTGGAACTACTCGACGAGTCGGAGGACCCTGACTCGACGAGTAGGAGCTGGAAAATGAAACCCTAATTTTTACGATTTGCACCGTTTTAAAGGACCTTAAGTCCTTACCTCCAGTCCCTTACCACCTTTTGACGGACAGAAGAAACCCTAATTAGTCTAACCTTGTTCTTGAGTGTTTGAGAGGCTAAAGTGTGCTTTTGGTGCTTTTGATTGAAGAAGCTTGGAGTTTTAGAAGCTTGGAATGAGAATAAGAGGGTAAATCAAATATCTACATTGTCTTGGCTTGCATTTAAATGTAAAAAGCCTCGAACATTGTCTTTCATTTATTATATCCCTTCTTAAGTAAGAATATGAGCATTTTGGTGCAAAAATGGAGTTATTTTCGGATTTGAGCTTGTTACAAGGTGATAGTTTTAGATCTGGACTCTTTTAGGCCTTTATGGACATAAAGCCTCAAACTTTATTAGGCTTTGGCTCTCCTTCATGTCCAAAACCTTCTTCTAAGGCTAGTTATAAGTGTTTTAGCTTCATGGAGCTTTTCATGCATGTAAAGTTAGTAACTTTACATGATAATCACACCCTAGGAGCCTAGATCTACAACTTGGAGGCTGGGTTTCATGAAAAAGCATTTGTATGATAATTAGACTGAAGGGACTCGACGAGTTGCATGGTCAACTCGACGAGTCCGATGAGGATTGGTCGTTGTTAGTTTCTGTATGGACTCGGCGAGTCAGTGAGATGACTCGACGAGTCAGTTAGGTTTTTTCCCAACTTTTGGACACACATGGTCTTGACAAGTTGTCTGGAAACTTAGCGAGTCAACTAGGGTTTTCACTATTTCTCAAGTTTTGGAAGGACCCAACGAGTCAGTGAGCCGCACTCGGCGAGTTGGGTCAACATGGACTGTTGACCTTGACCGTTGACTTTGATTTTGATGAAATGTTGACCAGTTTAACTTTTGGGGGTATTTTAGTAAATTGGGAATTTATGGAAGTGGTTTTATGGTGAATATAGGTGGCGGAATTCATGGATGTGATTCAAGAGTTAAATTTATCACTACAGTTCGACATTTGTGTGGTGACTTATCCTCACTATAGTAAGGGGTCTAGGGCACCAAGGTCAGCCATTGGATTGATATCCTAGTAATTATTGATATGCTGAGTGTGAGTTAGATATGCTTGTTAGTCCAATATGCTAGTCTGGTAGATCTCCAGGAC